AGTTAGATCTCGTATAGATCTTGTTCTCGGGTGTATTCACTCCTCAATCCCCTTTTTACCCTTGATTTTTTAGATCTAGGTCGTCTCGACAGGTTTGAACCTCACCAACCCACGACGATGTCCGTTGATGATTTACATAATCTTCGATTCGAGTTATGGATTCTCAACGGGATTGAGTTGATAAACCTGAAGCTAACGAATCCCCAAAATCGGAGAAATCTTTACGTGATGGCTCAGATTAGCTCTCCCTTAGCTTTTCCCAAACTCTTTTACAGGGGTTATCGGACTTCAAACCTTGGTCGAAGAATCTGAGTTCCCTTTAGAACTTCCGATCTTATCTCGGGTACTCATGGTCAAAGCAAATTCATATCCCAAAGGCTACTTGTACTTGTCCAAAAATAATTAAAAAATTCTCGTCGTCCCCCAAAAGATGAGCAATGGAAGAAACACTACTTCTTTTCCTCAATTAAAAAGCTCTCTTTCGGTGGCTTAACCCCTTCTTGATCACTTGTAGTTGTTGGTATGCACGATCTGATAGCTTACAAGGTTCTTATTAGCCCTTGTTTTGTTTACTTGGTTATTACAATCTTTGTTTTTATTTTGCCACTCTACTGAATTAAGTTCTGGCCTATATGAAATTGGGGATAATTTTTTATTCCTAAGCCTCGACGAGACATATTGGGAATCTTTTACATGAGAGATGATTCTTGCTTCCGGAGTTCAACTTTGGGGCTTATGTCAACTCGGATTTGATCCATGCATCCTTCCCGAAGTGGTTTTATTTTAGACACTTAGATTTTATTTTAGACGTTTGGTTATGTTTCAACTACAGATATACTCTAGACCATGTCAGAGAGCTATCGAGCTAAGCATAGGGCCCAACATGAACGCGAGAAGTCTATCGCGGCATCCAGACTCTGTCTGATGATACCCATATTGCCTTACTTAAAGGGTCAAAGCTCACCAGTCCCGAGTTCTCGTTGCTAAACCCTTTTATCTTGGGCTTAATTGTTTAGCCTGAATTTTCTGAATTTGGGCGTTGCCAACAGCTTTCTGGTGTCGAACCTAGTTGGAAGTAGCAAAAAGAAAGGTAACGAAGGTGGAGCTGAAACCCAAACTGAATCAAAGAAATTAAGGTACTACTAGGAATTTGAGTATAACTCGAATGACTTTATTATTGAGGATTCTACATCCATTGCTCACCTTCATTGACACTTTAAGAAGCCGACATTTCGACTCACTCCTCTTACCACACTTTAAGAAACCGACATCTCGACTTATGTAGTGCTACTTTCACAATGCATTTGTGAAGAACAAACTAAGAAAGAGATCTATGTTGTTCTTCATAGTTGATATCATGTTATCATCGTTTATAATTCGTCATGTGTGAGAATTTTTTTGGTTCATTTTTTAAATCTTTAAATTAGGCAAAGACCATTTTGAATTGATTTAGTTGTAAAAAAAATGCGTGTCCCATAATGCCATTTAGGG